GAAGCAAATTGCCGAAGCCGAACGACAACGGGATGCTGCTATTCAGGAAGCGATCTATGCCAAGGCCAAGCTGGCAGCGCAGGGAGGAAGTGCCAGGAGCACACCCCAACTCGATATAGATAAAGATGGCAACGATCGTGTGGGTGAGATGAGCAAAAAGCTTGCTCAAGCCTTGAGTATCCAGAAAGATCTACAGGACCAAGTGGAACGCCTAAAAATCGACCTCGACGCCGAGAAGAAGGCCAGGAAACTGGCGGATGATACGGCCAGTGCTGCTCAGAAGAGGATGGCGGACCTGGAGCATTATAAGCAAAAGAATTCCGGCGAGGTAGAGCAACTCAAAGCTGAAATGCATATGCTACAACGGCAGGCAAGAGAGGCTGAAGTCACAGCGTCGGAATTCGAATCTACGGCACAAATGCTCCGTCTTGAGAAAGATGAACTGGAAAACAAGTACAATGAGGCCGTCGGTAACTCTAAGCAAAGCGTCGAGACATTCCAGTCACTGCGGGAAGCGGTAGCTGCAACAACCGAAATGAGAGAGACGCTGGAAAGGAAACTCGATGAAGAGCGTGCACTCCGGGAGGAGATTGAGGCCACGTTGAACAAGCTCAAGGCTGAGCGTGAGGTTCAGGCTGCCGAATTAGCTACAATCACTCAGCGCCTGAGAGATGCTGAAGAGCGAGCCGAACGCCATGCCAACGAGGCACGTGTCCACCGTCAAGCCGTGCTTGCCGGTTTGGATAAGATGCCGACAATGGAAAACCGTAGCCTGGGCAACGGCGACATTGATCGCACATCTGCCCTTCAAGGCCAGCTAAGCGCCGCTAATGCGCTGGTGAGGAAGTACCAGCAGGAGGCAGATTCTGCCTCAGACAAACTACGCAGTGCAGAGGAACGCATTGCTGGACTTGAGGCCTATCAAGAACAAGCCAGTCGTGAAGGCGTCTCGATCCGCAGGCAGTTGCAGAGTGCCCTAAGAGAAACCCAGTCCCTTCAGGCCGCCAACTCGGATCTCAAGCAGCAATTAGCCAAGCAACAATTAGAAACCAACGCCGTCCTGGTCCAACACAACACGCTCAAAGATATTCTCACTGAACGTGGTATTTCACCTACCAGTGTAAACCGTCATAGTCGACTCGGCAGCCCGCGTGAGGGTTCCCCGGAGGCGATGCGCTTGCGCGAACTTGAACAGCAACTTGCCGCGGCGCAAGCTGCGCACGAGGAGACAAAGGCGTCAGCGGCAAAACAAGCGCAGGAAGCGGAGACGACGTATCGTGACAAGCTTGCCCAGCTCGATAATGACTACCAGTCAGCTGTGCACTATGTCAAGGGCACCGAGAAGATGCTTAAACAGCTTAAGGAGCAGCTGACACGCTATAAGACGGAGAACTCTCGCCTCAAGGAACAGATTGTTGAGCTTGAAGACAAGGTCGGGAGCGAGACTGGCGGCAGCGGCGCACCTGCGGATTGGGAGACTGAGCGCGAATCGCTGCAAGGGCAAGTCAGCGAGCTTCAAGCTGAGCTACAGAGGACGGCATCTCAACTCGATCAACAGCTAAAGTCTCTGCGCGAAGAGCTTGAAGATGTCCGCCAGGAACGCGATTCGGCGGCTCACGCCAGCGACGACGCCAGCCGACGTCTTGAAGCGACCAAGAAAGACCTAGAGGAGCTACAGCACGAGAATGCCCTTCTGGAGCGCCGCGCTCGGGATGCGGAGCAGAAGGTCAGCACACTGCTCGATCAAGTAGAAATGAGCGTCGACAACTACCGCAGACGCAGCCGGCAAGTCCCGAACGAAACGATCGGGGCTGCGGTGACACCAGTGGGTCCTTCAAATGAAATAGGACATGTCAGGCATGAGTCCAGCGAAGCCGAGAGCTTGTACGGGCCAGGACCCGATGCTAGAGATAGCGTCGCGCTGGATCACCTGACAAGCGAGCTCGAGACGTTGCGGAGCCGTTGGGAAACCAATAGTAAGAACTACCGTCACAGCAACGCGTTTGATTTTGAGGGCCTCGGAACTCCTACCGCATCTCTTCCCAATCAGAAGAGTGACGGTACCCTCGGTCTGAGCGAAAGTATGGCGGATTGGAGGAAGAAGAATTTCGACGATAGTCACCTTGATGATGATGAGCATCCACCGGCCGGATCTGCCAGATGAAAGAAAGGAATGCAGGGAAAGAAGCTTAGCCATATAGGAAAAGCTAAGCGTGTAATTTGATGGTGGCGGCAATTGCACCCACCACACCAGCAAGCAAGCAGTATATCAGCGAAATCTTTTGTTTTTATGGGGGGGAACACTATGCCATGAACGAAGACGTCTTAATGTTTGATGGCTATTTTTGGTAGAGATGTGCTTAATTTTCATACATTTCTTACTTTTTCGATAATCTGATGGGGATGGGGAATGGAAGGAAATGTCATTTTGCTTGAAACACCCGAACGGTCTCTATATAGCTACTTGTTCTCGTGCTTTGGCTGCTCTGTGCTGCTGTGACATTCATTCTTGCCTACCTTCTTGTTGTTGTCTTATTGGAGACACTAATCTGATTGTAATCTTGATGGGGATTTCAATTCCGTTGATTTTCTATGGAGTTAAATGGCAAATATCCAGGCTGTTCGGGTAATGATCTTGAGTAGAGTTTAATGGTTTATCTTGGGTGACAGGATGTTAGGAAAAGAAATTCAAAAGAATAATCTTACGTTAACGATGAAGACTCAATCCATGATAGACAATTCCAGTCTGACGTATAAATGTTTCCAAAGCGAAGTACAGTTGACACTTCCAAGTCGTTGATGAAACTGCGTTCGATAACAGAGTTTGTGACTGACTACATATAGGCCCATAACTTACCGCATGTCCAGGAGTGTACACGTAGCCTAAGTTGAGATCCCGGAAGATATCTCTATTTTTGAGATTTTGTGTTCATCGAAAAGCGAAAAGCATGACCACAACTACAACCCCATTTTGCCCGGCTGTAGTTGCTGCCAACAATTTCTCCTTTATCTCATCCCCATTGTTCTTCTCTTTCCTCATCCGTCGAGTCATCTCGCTATACCCGCCCATTAAGAGCGTTGGGTGACGACACTCCATGACCCTACCCGGCACACCGTATCAAGGTGAAAGGCGTGGCTCTGAAGGCATACCATTGCTCATTAACAGCAGTAACCCTGATGGCTCCAATTTCATGGATGTAAACAACCCCCTTTCCCGATACATCCATACAGAACTTCAGAGTCTCCACCCTTCGTTTCCCGTTATCAAATCCCTCATAACATAACCTCATCATCGTCATAGCTAGACACCAATCCAACAACCCAATCTCACTCCCCCGTCCTCTTCATCTGCCTACTGCGCAGCAAACAAACTCATATAAACTCCCCACGCAATGCCGGCCAAATTGCCCGCCAGACTCCTCGCCGCCACCGTCTTCAACACTGCAAAGTTGACAATACTCACAAACGGCCAAAACTTCCAGCTCGCCACCAGCAACCCCCAAAACTCGCGCTTCGACTCCTCCCAAACCCAGTTCCAGTTGACGCTATGATACTGGATCGCGTTTCCCCTTTTGAAGCTGTCGATCAAAAACCACAGACTTTGATCGGGTGAGGCGCCGAACGAAGAGGTGGCCCGGTGCTGCATCGCGGCTTGCGTGCCGTGCATGAACATGCTGAAAAGCAACGTGTTGACGGCTGCCCCCACGGTTTGGTCGAGCAGCCATTTGATGAAGGTGTTGCCTTTGTTGAGACGCGGTTCGACGAGCGTGCCGAGAGAGGCTTCGCGGTCGAGAGCCTTTTCGTCAGAGGCGGAGGCGGAGGCGATGGCTTCGCGCGTGGGGGAGACGTGGTGGGATGGGAAGGTGGTTTCAAGGAGTTCTTGCCTTTAGAGGGGGTGTTAGGTAAGGTCACTCACTCATGGGTTGATGGCGCCGAGGAGAGGGAGGTTTCTCTCGTTCGGTGTTAGGTGAGGACGGAGGATATGACTGAATGATGGACTGTTCCCTTGTGGCCGTCCACACCGACAAAGGGCCAAGACTTACCACAAAAAATTGGGAGGCGTAGAGATCACACCAAAGAGGAAGAACTGGAACACTGGCACCCAGTCAATCACCAGAGGTGTCTAATCAGCAGAGTCACCAGTTGTCAGCATCAAGATCCCCAAGTACGTGCATGTTGCATTACGTCATCGCTTCCACGATGAACGTGAGCCAGAATGAGTTTCACATACACCGTCTTTGTAGGCACTGATGGCCTGGGCGAGAATGTTTGATATTCCCGCAATGACTGCCGCTTGTAGCGTGGCTTTGATGATAGGCGATGGCTCGTTATCATCTTTCTTTGCGGGAGCTGCTGGCTTGGGCATTTTGCGATGAAAGAGGTTCCTGCTGTTTGATGAGTTCAGTAGGCGGATCGCTTTGAAGCTAATCGTAGGGGAGTTGGAGGAGAGCGAAACGGAGTATGAGAAAACGATGAGGAGCGTGGAGGAGTACTTGTAAAATGAGTGTATTGGCTTTTTGGAGGGGAAGGAAACGAATAGACTAGAGTGTAGCCAAGGTGACGGCGGTACAGTATAGACGGACGACTAGCAGCATAGCGCCAGATGCCCCACCGGTTGGGCAACACAACAGAAAACCGGATGAGATAAAAAGGCAACAAACGAACTTACCCAACCGATCACGAGAAAGAACGCAGCTCGGCCAATGATTTCCAACATGAGGGATATGATATTAAGAAACGCACCAAGATACTGAATCATGTTGGCGAGGAAGGTATGGCATAGACTCTGAAGTGAATACAGGTGTCCACGACTACACCTCAACCCATCCTGTCGACGAGATGTCGGGGGATTGCACGCCTATTAGTATGCGAGCCGATAGCTGACGTACTCCGAGACGTACTTATCAAACGGAATGCTGTGCTCGACTATCGCGATGCCCATTTAGGTAGGTAGGCCCAGGTATTTGGTTCAATGTCACCCGCGTAAGATCTTCGGGGTTGTCTTATCTATTTCCCCCTTTCCATTACATGAATGTGGTGACACCCCGGTTATATCCGGCGTAGTACCTAACCTCGTTGGTAAGTGACCGAAACCTCTTTTGGACTATTCTACCGGTTCTCATTAGACATTTGCATACGTCCGCACCAGTCACTCATTATCATACTAGCTGTGAATGGCCGAAGCTGTGGTGACCATATGTGCCATACATCACCCGTTATACCGAGGCTTCTTCTTGTCTCTCGGCAATCATGTTTTTGATGTTTTGTCTATACCCTCGTTAGGCTGCCCAACGTCAAACTTCATGGCCGGCTCAAAATCCACATGAAAAAGAGCTGCACGATGTAGGCGTAGAAGAAGAGGAACTGTAGCCTCTGCGATCTCTTTGCCCGACCCTCGGTGGGCATGGTTTGCATAGGACCCTGGGCGTTGTTGTTGTTCTCGGGAAGAAGAACGTATTTCAGGGAGCGCATCTGAGAAACGCAGGTTAGTCAACGAGCCAATCCGGAGAAGGGAACAGCAGCAGGGCATCATACCAAGAAGAGAGCGTTCGCAAAGAAAGTGTAACCAAAGACAGTCCAGCCGATCACACCACCAGTTCCCTTGCCGCCATTCACAATCTCGGCAATAGAGATGGTGACAATAACGCCAACAAACTTGTACCCAGAGTAAGCGACGAGGTCCAAGAGCTGCGACTCGTTGGAGATGCTCAAGAGGTAGCATCCAAGCTTCAGACCCAGGATTTCAACGATAACCACCACTAGCGCGGTTGTCGCAATGTATCCGAACAGTTCCGGCTGGAACTGGCCACGTAGGCCCGCGATAAGGGTTTGGAGAAAGATGTAGGTGACCAGCGACATGACCGGAATATACATGTCGGGGCTGTTGATGTCGTCCCTGGGAGGCAGGTACCACCCTTCCTGACCGCCCGGGCCTACTGTCTGCTTGCGGGACCAGGGCTTATGCCTCCAGGGAAACAGGACAAGATAGAGCTTGTTTATTACGTAGGAGTTGGTGACGTTAAAGTAATGTTTGAGCGCCGAGACACTGACGAAGCGGTTGACCTGTAGCGCCGCGCGTTAGCATGCGTCTCCCTCCGCGACAGGTAAGCCGTCAGCATCCTTACATTCTGCTCGAGGTATTCCTGTCCCTGCTTGAAAGCTGTCTGTCCGAACTGCGAGGCCAGCTGCGCTGCCGGGTCGTTTATAAAGTTGCCGTACTGGCCAAACATGTTTCCTGACGGTGCCCGCCCTTGCTGTTGGTAAGGGCTTCCATCATAGCCGGAGTGAGGTTGCGACGTGGGCGGCGGTGGCGATCGTAGCTGAGGAACGGTTGAGACGTGTTGCGGGACAGGGTGGTGTAAAGGGGGCGATTGCCCGTAGCCGGATCGCTGCATCTTGTCGGTTGGTGAGGCTGTATAAAGTGGAAGGGAGAGTTTGGATGTTAGTCACGGTCTTGGGACTCTTTTCGCGGGTCGATCGGTATGGAATTCGTGTTGCTAGTAAGTAGGAGGTTGGTATTGCGTGCTCGTGTTGACCGCGTTGCGTGGCTTTGTCAGGCACCTAGCTCTGTCGGGGAGATGCGATGTGTTTCGTTGAATCTGGAGATGCTGTCATTGACCACATACAGCAACTTGAAGTGAACACCCTCAGGGCTCAGGTAGCTACGGTAGACCCCCGACGACCCCCCCCCCCCCCCCCACCCCTTCCCCTTCCACTCCCCAGGCCGACACCAGCGCAGCCCCTGGCCGGCCGCCTTGGCACCTCACTGCACTCGATCGCCTGCCCGCCGTGCCAAGAAATAGCCTGATGACATCTTATCGGCGCTCTATCAACCAACAAAAGTCCCGATGGCCCCACCTTCCACTTGCTAGCTCCAGCGTGTTCCAGAAGCGCGGCGCCCGGCTAACCACGCCGATGCGGTGGTGGCGGCCAATATGACAGTTTGGCTTCCATTGAGTCTGAGTGGTCTTGGACTCGAAGCACTTCCGCCCCTTTTCCTGGAATATTTACTCTTCCACTTCTCCCCTCGTACTCTCTTCCTCTTTGACGCATACAATCCGCACTCCTCCAAACGCCAATTGACATCAAAGAGTGCTCGTTATATACCAGCGTACCACTTCGAAACGGGGCACCATCTGACGAACCATGTTGGACACTTTCGAGATCCTGACGACGTCAGGGGTGGTGCTGTGGTCCAGGACATACGCCGCCGTCAGTCCTGCTGTAGTCAACAACTTCATATCCGACGTCTTCATTGAGGAAAAGAGCGCTGTTGCTGGTACCAAGGATGGCGCTTCTGCGTCGGCCAATCCGCCGTACAAACATGACCAGCATACACTGCGTTGGTCGTTCGAGAAGGAATTGGGTATTATCTTTGTTGTATGCGCATCTCCTTTGCCTTGTGCCCTTCTCCGCCCTTCACGGCCGCTGGCTGACCTCATGACTCGCAGGCGGTTTACAGATCACTCCTACATCTCTCATGGATCGACAAGCTCGTTGACAACATCCGGACCATCTTTGTGAACCTCTATGGCGACCAGCTTAAGAAGCCGAACGTTACGCTTATTCAGTGCGCCAAGTTTGATGACTATTTCGATCAGCAACTGCAAGAGCTCGAGAAAACAGGCAGTAAATCGGATTCGAAAGACGTTCGCGCATTCCAAGATGAAGCTTTGTCAGACGACCTGAGCGATATGCCTCCGCCGCTACCTGGCCTTGTCCGTGGCGGCCGTGCACCGAGCAACACCAATACAAGCAAGCAGGGCGATTCGGACTTCGATACGTCACCAAACACATCGCGGTCCACAACTCCGGCTGTAGCAAGTCACCTTTTGGTGGCAAAGCCAGGTCCGGGAGGCAAGATGTCGAGAAGAGCGAGAAAGCTCCAGAACTCTGCGCCCGCTTCTTCAGGCGACGAAGCCTCTGTCAAACGAACCAAGGCCAAGCTTGCCAAGAAAGGAAGAAAGTGGGATGCGGACGGCCTTGCTGACGAGGAGGACGATGTTCAACTTGACTTCTCCGCCTCCAAAGCAACAAGCGATAGTGAAACCGAAGCAGGAAGGCGGCCGGCCATTGAAGAAGTGGATGCCTCAACATGGGGTTCGACTACAAAGGGCAAGTTTGTGCTCAGAGACCTGGGCGATGAGGTTCATTCGATTCTCGCGTCTGCGGAGGCCAAGAATTCCGCATCCAAAACCGACGCCCCAACTGGTCTGGTGGGAACAGGCCTGAGTGCTATTGGAGGTCTTTTTAGGAACGTCGTGGGTGGAAAGGTCTTGACTAAGGAGGATTTGGACAAGGCCATGAAGGGCATGGAAGAGCATTTGTTGAAGAAGAACGTCGCGCGCGAAGCTGCCGTGCGCCTCTGTGAAGGGGTTGAGAAGGAGCTTATTGGTGTCAAGACAGGAAGCTTCGAGAGTAAGTCCGGTTGTCATGCGCTTCAATATGCAATGACAGAGAGCTGACAACCTTGCACAGGTATCAATACCAGGATACAAAAAGCCATGGAAGTCTCCTTGACCAAGATGCTTACGCCCACATCCTCGCTGGACCTTCTTCGCGAGATCGACTCCATCACATCACCACCAGCCACGTCTCTGCGAAAGGCGCGGCCCTATGTCATGTCGATTGTGGGTGTCAACGGTGTCGGAAAATCGACCAACTTGTCAAAGATCTGCTTCTTCCTCCTGCAAAACAAGTACAAGGTGCTGATTGCGGCAGGTGACACCTTCCGCTCGGGTGCCGTTGAGCAGTTGGCGGTGCATGTTCGCAACCTCAAGGAACTCACCCAAAGAGAAGGCGGCAAGGTTGAATTGTACCAAAAGGGATACGGCAAGGATGCCGCTGCAGTGGCCAAGGATGCCGTCGCATTTGCTGCCCAGGAGGGCTTCGATGTGGTCTTGATCGACACAGCCGGTCGTAGGCACAACGACCAGCGGCTGATGTCTTCGCTAGAGAAGTTTGCCAAGTTTGCGCAACCTGACAAGATCTTGATGGTTGGCGAGGTAAGAAGCATTTCCCTTTTGCACACTAAGTTGCTTCTGCACATATTGTTTCTCTGATACTGACCACCTGGCTTCGTAACAGGCACTTGTCGGTACCGATTCCGTGGCTCAGGCCAAAAACTTCAACGCCTCCTTCGGAGCTGGCCGATCTTTGGACGGGTTTATCATCTCCAAGTGCGATACAGTAGGAGACATGGTGGGCACAATTGTCAGCATTGTTCACGCCACGAACGTTCCTGTTTTATTTGTGGGAGTTGGGCAGCATTATTCGGACCTCAGGAACTTTTCTGTCAAGTGGGCAGTAGAGAAGTTGTTGAGCAGTGCATAAACTGCGTAGCCAGCCATTCGGGGGACTTGAACCAATTTGTATAGCAGATCAATTTTTGTTCCGTGTTTCTTGGAATACCTATAATGGATGACTGGTCAACCAGCCGGCAGGCAGTACTCATCGACACAGTTCATCGTAATTACCACGCCAACTTGCTCTTCGAACTTCTTTCGTTGAGAGCTACTGTGGAGAACGGGCCAAGTATTGAGTGTTTGTCAAACGCCCCTGAACCCCCCTTTTCAGGAGAGGCTTGGCATAAACAACTGCTGCCTTTCTCAGAAACGCTGCTTGCACGTGATCACCCGTTTAGCCCCGCCTCGCGTTGGTCCAAGTCGCGTTTTCACTTTACTACACTAGGATGCGTCCAGGTTACATGCTGCTGCACTTACTGCCCCCCCACCTCATCGAGTATTCGATTCTACCTTGGTCCTACTCCTAGGTTGTCGCCGCCATCGATTTCCCCCAAAGATGTCGATTGAAGATGGCGTCCGGAGTCCATGGCAAAACAGTCAAGGGAGGCGCCCTTGAGGAGAGCTTCCCTGAGGACGCCCAACCCCAGCCCGGCTCAGCACCGCCTCAGTCCACTCTAGCCGCAGAGCTTGTCGAAGGCCTCCCGAACGAATCTCGACGCGCGAAACCTGACGAGGTCACCGAGATCAAGCGATTGTGTACCATTATCGAGCAGGAAAAAGACAAGGCCGGTTCGGATCTGGAAAAGACACACGAAGAACGACTTGCGTACAATCACATCCTCTTCTATGTCTGCGCCGGACCTGTTCTTGATGTCGTCAAAACCAATGACCCGTTCGCGGATTTCGCCAGCTTGCAGCTTAAGGCTCAGAACACCCTTAGTCTTCTCAAGCTTGCCGTCCAAGAGACCCCGGATGTGCTGAAGCAGACGACCGATGGGAATGAGTTCTTGTTACGCGGCCCAGAACCTTTGTGGCTATGGTTCCAGCCTAGGTTGCTTGCTCTTCTGGGCCGTTCTAAGCTGCTTGGTATCACGTCTGCCATTGAGGACTTCTTCCACTTTACTCTGCAAACCGTTGCTGAACGTGTGCCCCTCTGGGACCTTGGCCCAGGCTTGCTTCAGTATTTCCAAGCAAGCTTGCACGGTAAGCATTAGCGACAAGCCGCAACTGGTTATGCAGTAATCGCTAATGTTAATGTAAATCGCCAGCCATACTCGAGCATTTCCAATCGAACCCGCTCGCCGACATGAATGCACGGAACTCTAATCTCGACATTCAGCTTCCGCCGGACACGTTTCTTCGAGCCCTGGACCTCGATGACCCAGATACACCATCCAAGTTCTTCTACAAGATCCGGGATTCCGAACATGCTATCCGCCACGCCATCAGCCTTTTTCACATTCTGAAGTCCACCATTCTACCCGTGGGGGCTGCTGAACCCCCACTGCTGTACCGCGGAAACATTGCTTGGTTGATGGATGTGTTTCAGCCGCTTTTTTCTGTTTTGGTTCACTGGTCGCCACAATTGAAGATAAGTCTAGCGCCCTATGTTCAGACAGCTATTGACCTAGCAGAAGCCGCAGACGACACACTGCGCCCAAAAGCGATATCCGCGCTTGCGTTGATATGCGGCGAGATATTTGACAGATCCGAGCAGTATCTTGGCGAAGACGAGTTTGGGCTGGCTACGAGAAAGGCACTCTCCTTGGCTTTGCTCCATCTTGTCAAGGAAGCAGATAGTCACAGGTCTTTGATGCAGTTGTTCGAATCCCGAGTCGTCATCCCCGCCGTCAGTTTCGCTACAGCTAGCCTTCCCAACTCGGATCTATGGGTTGGTACATTAGAAATGTCACCTTTTGATTTGATTGGTGCTGACATCCAATTTAGAGATCAGCCATTCTCCTCCAGCAGGTAGTGTCTGCTGAGACTTCTGTTTCCCAAGTTCCTGAAGAGCTCAGTTCCAGTAAATTCGTTGACGTCACTCTTCGTCAGCAAGTCGGACTGTTGGGCCTCGATCCTGTTGTCGAGGATGGGGAACCGGCCCCTAAACGAAGGAAGCTGGTGGAGCACCAAACATTATCAGCCGACATTGTCGAAGAAATATGCCGTGTTGCTAACCTGCCAATCTCTGAAGACATCTGCTCTT